GGTAAAAACAGTCAGTCCATTTTAATATTTTTCAACAGTTTTTTGCAAAGAATGGCTTGTAGTGCAGATTTTGAAGTTTTAAATTGTATTGTCCGATAAATCGTTTTAACCGGAGCCTGTATTTGCCAATGATTTGCACCAGCTGCATTATTAAAATACGGAAGCCTCAAAGTGTGTCCACCGTTACACATTGCTTAAAATTATTTTTTCGCTACAAAGTTTGTTGAACGCGTAAGTTTGTTTTTTTCCTTTCTAACAGCATTTTCATATGCTTTGTTCTCGAGGAATGTCCAGACTTATGCATACTGCATTGCATGTTGGCAGGCTTTACAACTAGTTAAGGAGTATTTATATCCAGGGTTTGTCACTTTATAGGGTGGCTAAGACCCCAGTTCAGTCACGAGGCTTGTTTGGTATAACCGCTTGCCTCTTTGTGAGAATATTCAAACGGACGAATGTTACACCTACCTCGATTGACACTCAAAAATATAGGGCAATCCTTTAAAGTTGTGTTACGTCTCAAATCTCACCTAATTTGCCTCTGTGAGATTCGCATGAATAATTTGCCTTAAGCATAGGTATGCTTAAATAGTTAAAGATGGTGGGTTAGGGGTTAATCTAATACAACACTGATAAAGGATGTAGTCTTTCATGTGGACATATGATTCCTTGTACCACGAGTCTAAAGCTCTTCGAGAACTGATGGAGCACTAAGTTACATTTAAATCAATGTTACTTCCGCCGGCTCGGTAACCTACTTAGTTAATTGCACGTCTTATGAAAAGGTGTATATCGACTTTGTTTCTATCAGGGACGGAATTTACAACAATTTATTTACTACGTTTATTTAACTGGATGCCAATGGGCATACTTTGAATGGAAGTTGTATAACTTGACATTCCTTGTTACACAGGCTGAACATTTTCCATTCTGATTGCCCACGCGACGAAGGACCCAGTTGGTTGGGCTGGTGGTAGATGGATGATGACACTGCCATTGACATCGTCGATCGCATATGACAGAGTTGCTCCACCATTGCCGTCCAAAATGGTAAACTTCGATACATCCTTGGCAGCCTTTACTTGTGCTAATGAAAGTGTCGGATTTGAGTTAATGCTAGGCCAATCGCTGAAGAGGGCGTAGACGACAGGATCCCCCTTGGTAGCGCTTTTCTGGAGGTACCTATTAAAGAAAAAAATTGACGTACATGTCAAAGTTAGTTCGGACTCAGCTCTCGAGTTAAAAACTGCCATCAGAAACTGGCACACTGCTGCAAGAGAATGTTTAAGGCACCTGCTTATACACCCAGCACCCATATGTATAAAATTTTTCTTGGTAGGAAATCAATTTAAAAACATTAGAGCCTCTGCTTGTCTCACCATAACTTCATGCGCTTGCTATCAATTTGATACTTCCAGGGCGTTGTTCTGTAAATGGCCTCACCATTCATTTTTAGCCATTGTCCCATGGTTAGCAGCCTCTCCTCGTAGATCGGTGGTATCGTGCCCCAAGACGTCGGTCCCACATTAACCAGCAGGTTTCCTCCGTAGGCAACCACACTTATGAGGAATTCTATCAGCTCCTGCATAATGCCATCCATTAAAATGATGTCGAAACATTTATAATTAGCCAAATAATCATGAATAAATAATCCTCAAGTTTTGATTTAAAAGAACCCGGGACATTGCACTTTAGATCAATTTCTGCATTCTAATCTGTGCATTGACTTCGAAGATCACTTAATTCCACAGAAATCAGGTATTTTGCGGTCTTTTTAAAAGAAGGCATGATAAGATTTACGGCCTCAATTATAAGTGATCACCTTGTTAAAGTATTACAAAGTATCCTAAGGTTTGAGATTTGCCCTTAATAAAGTTCATTTTGATAGGACCATCAGAAGTCTGGTTTACTTGAGGAGATAAGTAGTCAGCTAGACGGCTTTCGCGCCGATAGCCCCACGAGTAGCGATCCAGCGTGATACAGCTTTCCCACTTGTGGGAGAGCAACTTATCGGGATGATATCTATCCTCACAGTTGAAGAAGTCGCCATGTTGGCAGTTGGCATCTGAGCCCCACCGATCGTTCACCACCACCTCGTCCTTGACCGGGGAGTCATTATAGAGCCAGGCTAGGAACTCCTTCGCCTTCCAGTAGTCGCTTGTCGCCGGGGCGCCGTCGGACCACACGACGCTCGGTTGGTAGCGGTTCACCAAATCCATCAATTCTGGCATCGTTTTTCTGTCTACAAAAGTCTAATAAGAATCCAGCACATTTATCAACGGGAAAACATTTGGAGCCCAGTTTGAATTCTTTGAAGCATCGCGTGCATACCTGCTCTTTATAACCAGAAGCCTTATCAGCCAGATAGAGTGGATTGAACCACTCGAACATAGAATGATAGACACCAAATCGGAGTTTTGTCGTAGATCGAATAGCCTTGGCCAGATCATCCACAAGATCACGTCGTGGTCCTGCGTCCATGGAATTCCAATTCCAGGAGACGGGTGAGGGCCAGTTGCAGTAGCCCTCGTGATGCTTAGCTGTAAGGACTACGTATTGCGCTCCAGAAGCGTTAAAAATCTCCGCCCACTGCTGGGGATTAAAGAATTCCGCGTGGAAGTTTTGTGCGAAGTCGGGATACGAGAAGTCCGCCCCATAGTACGTCTGCATGTACACCCACACCTGAGGGTTTGGAGGCTTCCCTTGCCAGTACCACCAAAACCATTCACTCCTAGGTTGTTAGATTAATATTATGATAGGTCAAGAGAAGTACCACAAATCCTTTTTCTTGTAAGGGTTAATTAGTTATGATAACGCATTTCGAGCTTTACAGGACTTATTTTATCCTAAATGCATCACTTAAGTCTGTTTAAAATTCATTCCTAGAAGTTTTTGTTTTAAGGAACTTTAGAAACACGACAATTAAGGAAGCTGGGATTAATTAGAACACCAAATCTTATTAGCTGATAAGATCGCGCTTCAAATTCAGTGGGAAAACAGTAGCGAAAATAAGCTGCTGGTACGTACACATAACTTGGAACAGAGAAGACTCCCCAGTGGACGAAAATTCCAATCTTGCCTTCGTCGTACCACGATGGCAGAGGTCGCGTGTCCAGGGATGCCCAGTCGGGAGTGTAGGTGATGTTCGTGGAAGCCACCACCACCCAGGAAAGGCAAGCGATGATGCAGGCTTCAGCCAAAGTAGTGGACATTACCCTAGTGAAGCGTGGATAAATCTGATGCTGCAACAGCGATGTAGACCATTGTTTACACTATAGCACTGGTGGCCGATAGAGGCCGTGCGGATGTAAACAAATAGCGACGAGACAAAACCAGGCTTTAGACCAACCAAATTGTCAGCCTTAGACTTTGAGTCAAACCTTATTCGTTGGTGTCGCGGTAAATTAAAATCTGGCGCTATACAAGAATGTCTTCAAGGCAATCAGTAAAGATTTTATTCCTAAGGGAAGGAGTTGATATTTCTGGATTTATGAGGCTTCACGTCTCACCTTTTCATTTATACCTCACCAAGTCTTGTGGATGGTTTATTTGACCTCATAGAACTTCTTATCAGAAATTGTAATAGGGAAATTATTGCCAAGGGGAGAACCCAAACTATCGACTACTAATTTTGCCATCGATACAAGTAGTCGCATGTATAATTCTAATATTCTTTTACACAAATCCCTAAAAAGCGTTTCACTATTGAAATTCTCATAATCCAAACAGTTACGGGGAATTCGACATCTTATCATATGTGTGCACCTTTCATCTTTCGCATGAACCCGTTGAATTACGCGCAAAGCTCATGCCAGTAGTCTTCCACCTCACCTCTACCTTAGTAATATATGCTCTTCCACAGTTATTTACTTTGTCACAGCCGCAGGAAAGACTCAAGGTACTCTATGGGTGACAGTGATAATTAATTCCACTCAAAAAGTGCAAATGTCTTGATTCCTGTAGCTAGATACCATGCTACAACGAGATAGAGAAATACTAGGCCTATGAAATCTCTCAGCAGAAGGGCTAAAATACCGTTTACCTATGGCATTTACTCCAATCCCCATGTACCATATGAATTCTACTAACAGCTGTAGAGACATTGGACTTGTGTTCATTACCTGAATAAGTGACATATCCTTCATTGCTCCGCTAGCTAAACAATACCCAGATAGGTGGAAATAAGGACAAAGTGGCAGGGTGGAATGGATATGAAATACTGTCCCCATAAAACCAATCTAATTCTTGCATTTTTGTAAGTAGCTCTGGATTTTCGATCGCCTTTTAATGATTTACAATCGATACACCGTAGAACGTTGTCCGATCCTAATACGCAAATGAAAGTAATCTCCAGATACAATAGAGTATCTGGGATGCATGGGCGAGAGTGAGGTAAAGTCCCTTTTGAAGTTCAGGAAGTTTCAAAGAATGACATCGCTGGTTTGCTGCTGGGACTAAAAGAAGTGATGGCTTAGTGCTGACCAGTGTATGAAGTTGACGAAAGGGAGCGTAGAGCACAAAGCTCAAAGAAAAGAGAGACTACGCAGTAACTAATTGGTTACTTCAACTGTGGGTAGGGAATGCGAACACCTGCTATTTTTCATGTTGCACTTCCGCTCTGCGCATGAACTACAGGCATCCCATCTACTCTGTAGGCCGTTAACACGCTTTTCCATGACACTCCGTGTGTTGACCCTCTTAGCAGGACGATAAATTGAACTCTCATATTTCAGTAATTATAATGGAAACGTGCTAAGTGAAAATATGATGAATTCTTTTAAACTTTATTTAACGCAGTGCAGCCTAATGCACATGCTCAAGAGCTGAAACGAATGTCATGCATAAAACTGTTACAAAAAAATGCTATTTTGCAGCTAAAATTTTAATTATTACTGAAAATTGTTATAGCATGACATCTAAAAACTTTTAGCCAATTGCCTTAAGTGGCGCACTTTGTAAAGTTCACCAGTTGAAGGAATTGCTTCAAAAGCGAACAAAATGCCTTTGGACGACGGCGGTATGTGCTTTCACCTTATGATGCCCATGTTTAACGTGGTTCGTATATTGGGCTATCGTTTTGGTAGGTGTTTGAGGGGAAAGTCTCCCAAAATGCTTGTCCAGAAGCCGATTGCTTTATTGAAGTCATTTATAAGTCAATGTCACTTTTCACCGAATTATGGTCACTTTGTGTATGTAATTGTATTGATTGCAATTTTTCACTCTTTTTGTAGACTTCTGTCGCGTTTGCCGTTGTGAGGGTACGCCTTCGCAGCCCCTTTTTTATCCTTGCATGTGCACTGGGAGCATAAAATATGTTCATCAAGACTGGTAAGGCAAGCATGTTTTTCACCCGCCTTTCCATTTTTAGCAGCTGACCTTCAGTAATGCACCCCTGAGGTGCTAGTTATAGTTCTATACCCTTTTTGCATACTTTATTGCTCAAGTTACCGTTTTTAATCTAATGTAATAGGATTCTCGTTTAACGGGCATGTTTTAATAAACAGTTTAGTACAGTGGCTTCAATACAGCAAGCGTCAGACTTGTGAGCTCTGCAACCATCGTTTCACTTTCAAACCCGTCTACGCTCCACATACGCCCTCAGTGGTGCCTCTGCCGGTTCTCTTCCTCGGTCTACTCACCGCCTTCCGCAATATCATTGTTCGGTTTTTTCATCTTCTCGCTGTTGTAATCTCATGGCTGTTCGTGGTGCCTCTTACGGTGTGTCGAATCTACCGATGTTTTTTCTCGGGCAATCTCGTCGGACTGCTGTCACTTCCCTTGGATATACTCTCCACTGAGCACGTTATTCAAGACTGCATACAGGTGTCCAAATTCTTCAGTGTCATGCGCAATATTGCTCTGCACTTTTATTCACTATTTCATAATCTGAATGTGCTGGCACTATGGTTTTTTAATGTTGACGCGCGTAGGTATTTAATCATGTGCCTAATCACTGATAATTACAGCCATTGCAGCTTGATTTAAATACCTGTTCATTCGATCAATGAGCTATGAAAAACATCGCAACCCACTGAAATCTTGATTAAGATACTAAGGCGTCAGTTAACTTTTGTAGAATGCCACTTTTCTTATTTTCTAGTCGTATTTATCGTATTTTTGGTTAATCGACACCTAACACAAATGCTGGTCATAGCGATGACGAATAGCGCTCTTGCTTGCAGTGTTTCAAACTTTTTCGTTCTCACCTCGATATCGTAAATCTCCTACAAACTGACCTTTAGCGAAATTCTTATGCGTGATTTCTTGCCTACAGGGCTTCTTGATAGTCTTGGTCGCCTTGACTGCTCTCTTTGGCTGCGTGTGGCTAAGGGAGCAGTTAATGATTGGTGGAGAGCCCGATTGGCTTGCCGATGGAGAGGGTGCTGCCGAGGAGGCTAGGGAAGGGGTGGATGCCGATGGTGGGGGAGAGGCAGCAGCTCCTAACCAAGTCATCGTGGCCGGTCCCGTCGCTGCTGCTGCCCCTGCTAACAACGCTGACAATCAAGCCATCCCTGGTTAGTGTTTTCACTTTTCAGTCTATTTCCGTGTCCATACGTAAATGCAACACATAGTTGTAGGTTTTAGTCATGCTTTAAAAATAAAAGCGGTTTATAAACATATTTGATGCTATAATTTTCTGTAATGGGTTTCGTTAGTTTTATGACAGGTTCGAGGATTATCGATTTGTTCTTAGGTCACTACGAGTTGAAATAGGTATCTAGCAACGCAATTTTCCTCTTATGCATAAACTATTTTCCACATAGAGAACCATTTTACTTGTAGCACAACAATTGCTTATGAGCTTCATTTTGTTGCTTCGCTTGCAAATTACTTTCTCTAGTTAAATGAATCGTGTGATGTTTGGATGAACTATTCGTTTCGTGCATTCACGAGTTTTTTTCACTTCGAGGAAACAGAAATCCGGTTTTACTATGTAGCTCAGGTATCTTTGGATTACGAGCAAGAATCGTCCATTAGTTTTTCCTCTAATTGCATAACTTTTTAGTGTTTTGGCGAATGATGCTCTTCCACTTTTCGGTTATGACCTCACATTACCTCCTCTTGCGCACGAATTAAACGCATTTCGCGGCTCGTCACATTGGTGTTCTGCTGGTCAATGCGCCACCCCTTCCCCCCTTTATCACAGATCCAGTTTTATTATTTGTGGTTCACATACCTTATCAATGCCTTCAATGACCGCTTTTAATGCTGGATTGACATTACACGAGCTTGTGTATGTATATTTTTGTAAAAATGCAGACGATGAGGAGGAGGGAGAAATTCAAGAACTTGCACTTCCGCAGCAACAACCGCCGCAGCAGGAACAGCCTGCAGTAGCTGACGGAGCGGTACCGCCCGGTGGCAACAACGAGGCCGATTTTGACGCCGCTGCCGCAGTGCCACCGCTAACACTAGAGCGCATCTTCGGACTGGATGGAACCATGACCTTCCTGGAGCACGTCCTTTGGATCATTGTCCTCAACATCCTCTTTATTCTCTTCTTCGGTGAGTACCCATCACCATCGCTCAGCAGGTCTTTTCGATTAAGTGTAGTGACTAACGGTCAAATGCGCTCATCCCTTTAAGCCTCTTTCCCATTCTTCACTGGACGTACCGTGGTCTCTGCACTGGGCATCAAAACATCGGCAAGTGGTTTTGTTTTTTCTTATTTTAACTTGGGAATTCGAATTGTGGCATCCATCTAGTTTTCGTAGCCAAGGTCATTATAGGGTCCTGCCATCGCCTGAGGTCCATATTTGTCGCTTTCATCGTTGTCTTTTTAACCCCACGCAATTTTATATTATTTTGTTAGCAGTTAAGATTGGTTGCATGAATGTTAGCTTCGTTTGTGTCTCGGAGCTCTACCATCGCTCACAAGTCTGAGTTTTTAGGGACAGTTGTCCCTAACTGACCCTAGTCAAAGTTGTGGTCGTGTCATTTCGATATGCTCACTGTAGGAGTTTATCACTCATTTACCGCCTTGACTGGTAGTCCATTCTGTTTTGTGCTTATATTTCCATAGTTGTCGAATTTTTTGCTTGCTGCAGAGGGTCTGAAGAATGCTTTTAAATGTCTGCTCTTTACAGTGGGAAATCGCATCAGACGTGAGCGTTTTATCCAGCGGTAGGGCGGCAAATGTACAGAATTTAAAAGTTTCCGATCAAATGGGATTTGAGTGATAAGACAAAGACATGCATATTTTGTACATTTTGGAATTATGCCACCCTTGCGACTTGTGCTAATTTGGGCATTTCAGTTCACCAACAAGTACCCAATATTTGGCCCTATTTTAAGGCATCAATTCGACAAAAAGTCTCTCGATTGATCTTAACCCATCAATTGTACTTAACTATGTTAAGCGCTGTACTTAAAATTCATGTTCTGTCAATAAAACTGACGTTTTTACCAAGATTATTATCCACAAAAGTAGAATATTGAACATGGAAAGTGGCAAAACCAACTGCAAAAGGTTGGGGACCCACTTTTGTACATTTGTTGTCTTTGAACGGTGTGTTAAAATGTTTAGTGTTCTTACCTTAATAATAGTGCCGCCTACGTTCAAACGAAGCACATTCGCTTCGTTGGGCGCCCATATGCATCGCCCGTATTATACGATCACCACTTCTGGCATAAACAGTTGCTGCTTAGCTTATTTCAGTCGCATCATGTGGTGGAACTGTTATCAATCACTTATCACACGAAAACATTTTTAACTTTGGATGCACTTTAGATACTACTTATGTTCTCGATTCTCCCTCTCCCGTTCTTGTTCATTCAGCCGATGCTTGTCCATCGACTAAAAACAAGTCACGATTTACTGATAGAATACATGACAGATGGCGTGTGCATGGACCTTAATCCGAGCTATGCAGATCTCAACGCTTCGAATAAATGTGTGGGTTTTAGTTTAAGGGATTGTAGGACACCATGAGGTCATGCTGCAGGTCATTTACTATTAGAAACATAATTCATTTTGGCCTCTAGCTGTCAAGACTCAACAGAAGCTATTTACCGACGCTGTCGGTTGTAGCTACTGGGTCCAACTGCCTTACTTGACTTAATTGCTCAATATTCTCTGTGTTGGAACTTTCTAAATACCGTTTTTTTCTTGCTTGAATGTATCACTGGTAACATCACATGCTTGTTTATTCAGCATGTAACCATTTCACTTTTAGCTTCTCACTCCCCCGATTGAGTTGATTTTGTTCTCCTTCATCGGCTACATCGTTATGGCCACACTTCTCATTATTTCTCACTATGTTTTCAAAGCGATCTGCTTACCAAGGTTGGTGACTGTGCTCGTAGTTACTGATACCCAAAGCATCTCCTTTATTTGGTGGAGTGCCTTTATTCCACTTATTTAGAATAATTATGTAATGTAGGCGAACAGTCGCGGACTCCTTAATGCTGCTTTGATTGGAAGAAAAACAGTCCACTGTCTTGAGTAGAAAGCACTAGGTATTTCCAACGTTTTCTACTTATAGGTCGGCTTCTTATTATGCCGGTCTGTGTTACATCTACATAAAGGTGCCCATCATAGCTTTTGCGGAGTTGGGCATTTTTACGGCCTTCTGTGGACTTTGGATCGATGCTTGCTCCTTGGCAAGTTTGCCTTTCATGTGCTATTTATGGCTATATTTCCATGCGTAACCAGGAGTGGTCATGTAATCGAAGGCTAGCAATTGCTGAAGTTCTCATTTACTTTTTCCACTCTTCTAGGGCATGTTCAACGCATCAGTGGCGCAACGCTTGCGCGCCTTCAATTACGCGCCCGTGGTATTCAGCTTCATTCACTGGACGATGGGTTTGATGTACCTATTCTACGTCTCCTCACTCTTTATCATCATTCGTGATGTTATCCGACCTGGAGTTCTCTGGTTTCTACCCGACTTCACCGATCCTGACTACAGACCTGTTCAAGATGTGCGTTGGTCTTCCCCATCATGAGCATTCTGCGAAGTTCTTTTACATTTGGCTAACTATTCACGCATATTTCATTTCAGATGATCTCACTACCCGTAACGACTTACATCCAGCGTCTTGTTGTGAATCTGGTGAGTTCTTGTTCATCTCTACTTGCTCCACTCCTTCTGACCTTATTTTGATCGTTCCTCCATTTAGTCGTTGACAGGAATAATCGTGATACTCTCCATCTGGCTTCCCACCTTAATCACGCAAAAGCTGCTTCCAGGATTTCTGCCATTCCAGATGAGTCTCGCCTAGTACGTCATCATTTCTCGTGATATTTTTTTTTTCACAAATCAATTTGCAGTTTCCGTGCTAGTAACGCTTGTTCTTGTGAGCTCAAGTACTCCCATGCACGTGATTGCTCCACAAGACTTCGAGTGCCAAAAAACAGATAGTGTTGCCCACCTGACATCAACTACGATATGTGGTGGCAATCCCATTGAAATCCAACAACGATGTTGGAATCTTATTAAGTAAAATTAGTTGAACAGCGTGCCAGCGACCGAGATGGTAAATTGTTGCGTATTGGGTTTTTATGACGCTCTTTTTTCTGTTCAGTGACAGTCCAGTGGACTACTCGGTGGAGATAATAATTCTACAAATAGTAATGCCCTTCCTGCTGGATGGTCAATTCAAGGTATTTCTCTCTGCGCTCCTACGCAATTGGTGTGCCGGGGCCGCATGGATGCTGGGACTGCGCAGCTACCTCCTTGGCGATGTCGCTTTTAAACCAAGTGTTAGTCGCCACTTTTTCCTCGTATTCATTGTAAACTTAGTTATTTATGCTCTCATTGTCACCACTTTTATTATTTAATGCCTGTAATTGTTCAGATCCAGTCCAAGTAGATGTCACAAGACGTCTAGTTAAAGTGTGATGACTTTTTGTTGCAGACTTCTTAAATGTTGTTTTGAAGTTGCCTTTTGATATACTTTCTGCACGGTTAAGAATAAAACATATATCTTTTTTGAAAAAAGTTCTAATGTTTGTGAGCTATATCAGTAAACCAGTCTCAAAAGAAGACGGTCATTCTTTTATTCCTGCTTACTGAGTTTAGTGTCTTCAATTTCTTTTTAGTCGTGGAATAGTTTAACTAGGTTAGCGCTACTGCTAGCAGTACTTTATTATCCTCATTTCCTCCGCTTCTCATCTCCCCCTAAAACGCCCCGCCATTATCGACTAAAAACGTCTTTTTTCATACCTCTAGGACTACTATACCACTGTGTGAAAACAGAATGCCTCATTATGCATTTGTGCTTCTTATTCATATCAGTAAGGCACTCAACCTTACCGTCCATATGGAATGTTCTTGTAAAATCGCAAGTCCTTTCGGTTCCGTTAGAGACGAGTTTTTTCAGTACTTGCTCCCCATACTACAGGACGAAATAGTGATGGCGGACGGTCGTCGAATTCCCGCATCAGCGTTGTCGAGGTCACCTTCAGGGAGCACAGACGGGAGTGATTCTACAAGTCAAGAGGGCGGTAACGGTGGCGACGGCAGCGAGGGTGAGAACGCAGCCGCTCCGCCACCACCAACTGGTGGATACGCACCATACGCACGCCCGCGCTTTTTTGTGGTGCGCCTTTTCGGCCTACTGGTGCTGCTTGTCACCTCCCTCGTCCTTATCAGCCTCGCTGTCCTCGTGGTACCCGTCGCCCTTGGCCGACTTATGCTGGGACACATGGGCCTCAGCCAGACACCACATCATGATGCCCTCACCCTTCTTGTCGGCGTCTGCTCTCTCATGGGGTGGGCCAAGACCGTCCTCTGGTGAATTAAGCTCGACTCTTGACGGAAGTTTACTCCTGCGAGCTCTTTGTTGGAATCATGATTGCCATCAACGTATGATAGCGAGAAGCTAGTGTACACGGGCTCACTGCGTTACTTTATGACCACGTACGCAGTGATTTAGAAGTTCGCAAAAATTGCTCATATCGTGATTACCAAAGAAGGAGTAATAAGTCGCTGATTGAAAATCTGGTTCTTAGTGCATCCCCAGTCGGACATTTTGACTACTTTTATTCACTCCTTTGTTTCTTCAGAGAGTAGCAAAGCCTATCGTTTTTGTGCCTAGTAGCTATTAACATTTTGTCAGCTCCTCACAAACTCTCAACCGCAACTTAGTCGAACACGGACACGTCTTCTAAGGGGTTTCATTAATTTAATGCAAAAAATACCCATTATATGTGCTTTTTGCACGTCTGTGGGGAAAAAATAATGTATTATGTAAAATGATGCGTCGGAAAAAACGTTTACC